ATAACTTACTATATTCACATTAGTCTCCGCCCCCAAGGAGCTTACTGTACATTCACATCAGCCCCTGTCTCCAGGGAGTTTACTGTACATTCACATCAGTTCCTCTCCCCAAGGAGCTTATTGTACATTCACATCAGTCCTGTTCCCAAGGTGCTTGCTTTGTATTCACATCAGTTTCTGCCCCAAAAGTAGCTTACTGTACATTCACATCAGCCCCTGTCTCCAGGGAGTTTACTTTACATTCACATCAGTTCCTCCCCACAAGGAGCTTATTATACATTCACATCAGTCCTGTTCCCAAGGTGCTTGCGTTGTATTCACATCAGTTTCTGCCCCAAAGTAGCTTACTGTACATTCACATCAGCCCCTGTCTCCAGGGAGTTTACTGTACATTCACATCAGTTCCTCCCCACAAGGAGCTTATTATACATTCACATCAGTCCTGTTCCCAAGGTGCTTGCGTTGTATTCACATCAGTTTCTGCCCCCAAAGTAGCTTACTGTACATTCACATCAGCCCCTGTCTCCAGGGAGTTTACTGTACATTCACATCATTCCTCCCCACAAGGAGCCATTCACATCAGTCCTGTTCCAAGGTGCTTGCGTTGTATTCACATCAGTTTCTGCCCCCAAAGTAGCTTACTGTACATTCACATCAGCCCCTGTCTCCAGGGAGTTTTACTCATCACATCAGGTCTCCAGGGAGTTTACTGTACATTCACATCAGCCCCTGTCTCCAGGGAGTTTACTGTACATTCACGTAATTTCCTCTCCCCAAGGAGCTTATTGTACATTCACATCAGTCCTGTTCCCAAGGTGTTTACTCTGTATTCACATCCATTTCTGCCCCCAAAGTAGCTTTCTGTGCATTCACATCAGTCCCTGCCTCCAAGGAGCTTACTGTGCACTCGCTTTAGTTCTTGTCCCCAAGGAGCTTGCTGTACGTTCACATCAATGTCCATGAGGAGCTTGCTGTGCATTCACATCAGTCAATGTCCACAAGGATCTTACTGTACATTCCCATCAATCCCTGTCCCCAAGGTGAACACAGTCTGAGATCCATTTCTATTATGCACACAAACACATGGTAGGTCCAATTTAGGCAGGAGCCAGTTAACCTACTAACATGTATTTGGAGCATGGGAGGAAACCGAAGTACCCAGAGGGAGCCCACACAAGCACAGGGAGCATATGCAAGCTCCATGCAGGTAGTGTAGTGCTTAAGGCAGAAATGCCAACCACTAAGCCACTGTACTACTCCTAAATTTCATGTTATTATGGGCCTTACTTCATTACAGAACTTCAGCAGCTGTCATATTTCTGGCCAATTGGAGCACCTCAGTCGCCATTAACGGCATTCTAAATTAATCAGGGAATGGCAGTTGACCGAAATTAAAGCAAAAAGCACTGAGTAACAAAGTGAAACTAGTTTCAGAGAAGCCCACAGAGAGGGCTTTCTGGCAAATAGAAGCCATCTTGCAGTGTTGTGTCATAGCCAGGAAATTTAGACTAACTGATGGGTTTCATTATATCTCCCCCAAAGAGTCTCAGCCATAAAATCCAAGAAAAAGTTCTAAGCTTTCCCCATTCGGCTCGCAATTTTTAACATTTTAAGGTACAGCAGGAGAAAATAAGGTTAAAAATAGTATTTTTCTCTTCCTACTTGGATGACTTCAATATTTCTTCCTATGAAAGTGAGGAAGAACAAGACGTGCCTATCAGCTGTTTTCCACTTCCTGTGGGGTTTCTTGTTTCTGTAGCAGCCAATCTGAATCCTTGTTTCTGTAGCAGCCAATCTGAATTCCTTGTTTCATTTTAGAAATACCAATTCAAAGCTAATTAGTTGGGGTGAGGAAAGATTGAATTGTCTTGTTGGCATAAACTTGTGTAAAACCTGGATTCTGCTTTGGAGCACGTGTCCAGGAGTAGTTAACAAGATTTCAGGTCATTATGAGCTCTATTTAATGCTAAGCACACTCAGGAGCAAGAAGTCAGCAGGATTCTTCTTCATGAGGTCAGGCGATAGGGCAAAGAGTATCAGGAGTTTTTGCTATAGAAATAAAATAATTCAAAAGAACAAATATAAATTCTTTGTAAGTCTGCTATAATAACTTAAGCATGAATATTCAGGTTAATGAGTAAAGCTCAGCCATGACTGGTTCACTTTAAACAGTCAGTTCCCAAGGACCATCATCAATTTCAAGGTTAACATCAGACCAGTTCTCAGAGTGCTGTGTGTGTGAACGAGGTAGACATTTTAAGAAAGCACGCAAAAGCAAGTAGTGATTTGTTTCTGCTTTCTTCGAAGGTAAATACTCAACTTTCTAATTAGGTGCCCAGTTTATTTTTGTTCGTGAAGCAGCATGCTCGTTTCATGCAGATGGCACATTCCTCACAAACTGTAACTTGCATATTCTCAACGCATTTCTTAACTTCTTTTTTACATAAAATAAGTTCAGTGAGGCTTTTGAGTTTAAATAAATTGATTGTATCCTGGAGATTAAATCAGTGCACAGCACTATAAAAAAAATTAAATTATTAAACCCGATTCTCACATATATTCAGTACTGTTTATGGTCCTTTTTTCTTTATTTTATATCACTATAAGCAGTATGAAGGTACTTTGCTAAAAAATGATCATTTTTTTTTTTTTTTTTCAATTTGGCAATGTAAAATATTCCATAGTCGTGCGTCTATGGGAACATTTTGTAGTTGGGTATACCATAGTGGAGAGTCCGCTTTAAGGTGTTCATTGAAATTAAACTGTGGTGCACCCTTTCTTCTTCCTATATTGAGTAAACTGGTAACGTGATGGGGATGCTTAAACCCCATCCTTGCTGCCTCTCCATTAGAGAACATGATAGAAAAATATCAGTACAAAGTTGTTTCTCATAGCCACCCATCAAATTCACACCTGCTTTATTTGTTTCAGGTACTTATATAGCGCCGTCAATTTACGCAGCACTTTACATATATATTGTAAATTCACATCAGTCCCTAACCCTCAAGGGGTGTACAATCTAAGGTCCCTAACTCACATTCATACATACACATATTAGGGCCAATTTAGACAGCAGCCAATTAACCTACTTGCATGTCTTTGGAGTGTGGCAGGAAACTGGAGTTCCCGTAGGAAACCCACGCAGGCACAGGAAGAACATGCAAACTCCAGGCAGGTGGTGCCGTGGTTGGGATTCAAAACCAACGACCCTTGTACTGCCAGGTGGAAGTGCTAACCACTAAGCAACTGTGCCGCTTTAGAAGCTTGAATCTGATTGGTAAAGCAGTTACAAAGCACAGGTTTTAGCAGGTACACACTGATGACCCTGTAAGATGGACTGTGTGTGCTGCAATTTCTGTGGATTAACCAAAACTCATTAGTTGAGTAAACTTTCTGATTTTAACACCACAGTAGATGGTTGCAATGCACTGGTAATTCGCTGACTTGATTTAACAGTTGCCTGAAATTTTAATGTTATATATAGATGTGGATCGATTTCCATGACATCAATAAAAATTTGAAAGAAAAGTATAATATTCCATATTACTATACCCATACAAAGTTAGAGCTTCGCTTTAAAGTCAAGAGCACCAACCTTGCTCATCACAGCATCTGATTCTGGCAAGGGTCAACAGTGGCAGCAATGTTAGCCTTATCCCTAACCTGCCAATTACATAAGAGAACCAATACAATCAAGAATTATTCTGCTTGATTTCTAGTTAGACATTATAGTATAGTTAAGCTCTAGTTCTGAACTTTGTATCTGACCATGAACCCAATTACAAGGGAAGTATATCATTTTAGGAAGGGATAGGAAATGCTTTGGAGGTTGGGAAATATCTGTGCAGCCTGCCTTATCCAATTGTTTTTTTTGTTTTTTTTGGGACAAGCCCCATAAGTCCCATGCTATGACTGAGACACCTTGGAATGACCTCTGCTCTTCTATGGCTAGACCTCTGCTCTTCTAAGTCCTGTTTTGTTTTTTATCTAGGAAGCATAACACATGCCTTATTTATGTGTAATTTTTTTTTTTACTTTGGGTTGGACTAAAAAGGCTTTTTTCCGATATGTTCTTCTTGATATGTCAACACTATCCAGGCTTGAAATTTTCTGAAACTCACATACTGTACGTCTATATATCGATTTTCTTTTCCATTATTCCGATGCCTCGTGCCTATTGATTCACTTTCTGGGAATTTGGAAGACCCTTTCAAAAGCAGGCTTGTGGGAACACTGAGGAACAACAGAGTAGGATGGTCATCCTTGGCAACCAACCATATTTTACAGTTTTCTTAGTGCAGGATTTATGAATAAATCAAATGTGGTTGGTTACCATGGAACCACCTCAGATCATTTTTTTATAGCTTTTTTTTTTTTTTTTACAGCAGTTGTATAGAAGCAAACTTGTGCTTGGTGTTTCATATGTTTTACACAATATACAAGCTAATAACTCATCATATAGAAGACGCAGCCATTTTGTAGGCTTGGCCAGCATGAGTCCTCTTAAATATGGTCACCCTATTGAGGATTTTGTTTGGGGTAGCCATTTTGTGTCTCACAGAACCTATTAAACCAATAGTCAGCTCAACTTGAATTTTTTTGTAGATGGCCTAGGCACTTTCTGTGGCAGCCATTTGTGCCTTTGGGAAGTTAAAGGTTCCATAGTTAGCATAGCACAGTACTACATGAATTTTGCTCACAAACCAGTCTGTTTAATTGTCTGGTTTTTAGTGCATGTCCCCCCTGTTCCGCCGACCCTTGTCATATTGAAAGGTTGCCAGGTATCCACTCATATGGTTCACCGTTGATTGTATAACAGCTTTTTTTTCACTAGGTGTTCCAGTCTCGTCATTGTATCCAATATGGCGGATTTCTTGCTGTGTTCCCTTCTTTAGTGTGTGTACTGATTGCACTACCGAGTAAATGGTCCATTCATGTTAATCTCTCTTTTTTTCTCTCCTTGCACCCCTTTTCACTTTCTCTTCCAATGCTTAAAATAGAAGTGGAGCAAAAAGGTAAATAAATAACACAGCCCGATCCCACCCCCCTCAGCTCCTTGTTATGTGCCATATGGATGTTAACCTTCTCGATCCCCCCTTATCCCTAAACACTGAAGTTCTATATTCAGCAGGATTGCATTTCTACACCCATACACAAGTTGACTGCTAATTTAAAAAAAGAAAAAAAAAAGTGTTGTGATATATATATGTCACATAGGTGGGACACAGTATATGCATTTATTGTGGGAAATGTTTTCTTGCTCTCTTCCTTAACCCCTAATTGTTTTACTTTTTTTTTTTTTTACCAAAAAATTTTGTTTGAATTTTCATTTTTTTTTTTTTACTTTGCTTGGCTTCCTAATTCCTATCCCCTTAGCATGCCACATTTTCAGGCCTCCCTGCTTTGTTTCATCCATTGCTCAAATTGTGTTATTTTGTTATTTTTATTTTTTCTTCCTTGTTTTTTTGTTCTTCCAGCTCCCAATTGCCGTAAAAAATGTTGTGTTTTTTTCTCAGAGATGTTCCAGCTTTATGTTTCCTTTCCCAATTTTAATTCAATGCTTGTGTTCATTTGTAAATGTACAAATGGAAGACCATTCACATTTTTCTAACGTCACAAGAGCGGTGTGTGGTTTTTCATTGCCCAACAGGTTTTCGGCTTAGACGACTTTATAATTTTAATGTCCAGAAAACTGGTGTCTAAAATTTACTGTGTTGTAAGTCAAGTAGATATTTAGTTTGGCACTGTCGATGTACACACTCTCCATTTTAAGAATTTTTTTTTTTTAAACTTAAATTGTAGTTGTTGGAAGTAGTTAAGAGGGGGAAACTAAATGTTTAGTATGTCGTTTGTAAAATAATCCTCTTTCTACTTTCTACTAGTTTTTGTTTGCCCTGGGGTGTTGAAAGCAGTGGTGGACTCTCCATATATTTATGAAGCAGAGCAGAAGGCGGGTGCATGGTGTAAAGACCCCCTCCAAGCCGCAGATAAAATTTATTTTATGCCCTGGACTCCGTACCGTACGGATACATTAATGGAATTCGCCTCTTTGCAAGATTTTCAGAATTTCCGACAGACTACAACTTATAAACTTCCCAACCGGGTGGATGGCACAGGATTTGTGGTTTACGATGGGGCCGTTTTTTTTAATAAGGAGGAGAGACAAGAAACATTGTTAAGTTTGACTTGAGGACTAGAATTAAGAGTGGGGAGGCTATTATTAATTATGCCAATTACCACGATACATCCCCTTATCGATGGGGTGGAAAAACCGATATCGATCTGGCCGTTGATGAGAACGGGTTGTGGGTGATCTATGCGACGGAACAAAACAATGGAATGATTGTTATCAGCCAGTTAAATCCTTATACTCTCCGATTTGAGGCCACCTTCGAAACCTCCTATGATAAGCGGGCAGCCTCGAACGCCTTTATGATTTGTGGTGTCCTCTATGTGGTGCGGGCAGTCTACCAAGACAATGAAAGCGAAACAGGAAAGAATGCAATTGACTACATCTTCAACACCAAGCTGAACCGAGGAGAATCTGTTGATATTCCTTTCCCCAATCAGTATCAATACATCGCCGCAGTGGATTACAACCCTAGGGATAACCAGCTGTACGTGTGGAATAACAACTTCATTCTACGATACTCTCTAGAGTTCACCCTTCAGGACCTAGCCCAAGGTAAGAACTTGATGTCTTTTCCAGCTGCTTCTATCCCCATAACATCAATAACAAGTAACACTGTACAGTTTGTGATTTGGTTTGATCTATATTTTTTTCCCACCACATAAGTGAAATTTGCAATTTCACTAATGAATATAGTTATTCTAACAAACCTTAGTAAAGTTTCCTGAAAAAAGGATATTAGATTAAAATACAGGCTAAGATTGATTTAGGGTTGCAAACAAGATGGCAGATCAGAAAATGCAATTAATAACTCTGGGATACCAAGGGTCAGTATTTTAATAGATGGTGTAGAAAGCATGTAAAAAAGTCTATACATATATGTGTGTATGAGAGAGTATGTGTGAGCATGAAATATGCATGAACCTAAAGGGTTTTAAGGGTTTCTTTTTTTGTTTTGTATTTTTTTTATTTTTTTTTTTCTTGTTTTTACTGTGCTTCTGGTGAGTTTTTAATTTCTACATTTTTTTAAATTTATTTAAATTTTTTTTTTTTTTAATCTCTGTACTTGTAGGACTTTTTTTTTTTTTTTTTTTTCTTCCATTTGAATAAACTTGGTAGGTGCTTTCTCTAGTAAACATGTATGTGTATATATATATATCTATATTGTGCATTATGTATACCTTAACATTTTTTGAGCTGTGCATGAACTAGTCCAGGATTCAGGACAGTGAAATGATGCATGACTCATGATGCTTCCACGTTCAAGCAGCACACAGAGAACACTTGGCTCAATGCCGCCGAAGGATTAAAGCCCTGACAATGTTTGCAAGTCACGCCTTGCATCCAAAGGAAAGAAATATGCCCTTGATCTTAGGTTACTGCTTCTGACAGATGTTGTGCGATAAATGTAATGATTTTATATGACAGCCTCATGACTGGCATTAAAATCTGCTTATCATGTCTGTATTGTCTATTTCCCACTGCTTCCACGAGAGTGTTTTTTGTTTTAGAGTACATACCGCATTGCTTCTGTCCCAGGTGTTGCAGAAATAATTTACACTGTTTATTTATTGGGCCTTTAACATGGCTTGCAGGAGATGGCTCATTTCCGACATGTGATAAATTCCCTTTATATTTGAGCACACAGCCTTGTGTATGATGATGTATCCTCTGCTTCAGAAAGCTGAATTCATCCGCCTCTGTAATGCCTTCACATACTTTACCAGCACGGCTTAACCAGCAGATTGTTAGGATCATGTATGTTTTAACCACAAGCTGTTTATGTGTCAGTGGTTTGCAGGCACTCCCCCCCTTTTTTTTTTTGCCTTGCTATCTGGATACAGTAAGACTCCCCTCTTGGTAATTATGCAGTGGCTGCGTTTGGCCGTAATCTCATTTTAATTTATGTTCCGTGGTGCAGGCCTTTTTTCTCAGGAGGTCACAAAACCAACTCGCTGTAGTTGTAACTGGTTTGTAGCATTACAGCATAACATTTCATAGATCTCCACACTATAGGGCTTTTTTCATTTAGTAATATGTGTTCAAAATGTAATTTTTTGTTTGGATTCTTTGGACTTTCCCATTCTTCCATCTGTTTTTTCCCTTTTGTTTTTCTGTACTTGAATCTCCTCTCCCCTCTTCTGTCCTCTCTCCTCTCCCCTCTTCTGTCCTCTCTCCTCTCCCCCTTCTTCTGTCCTCTCTCCTCTCCCCTCTTCTGTCCTCTCTCCTCTCCCCCTCTTCTGTCCTCTCTCCTCTCCCCTCTCTTCTGTCCTCTCTCCTCTCCCCTCTTCTGTCCTCTCTCCTCTCCCCTCTTCTGTCCTCTCTCCTCTCCCCTCTTCTGTCCTCTCTCTCCTCTCCCCTCTTCTGTCCTCTCTCCTCTCCCCTCTTCTGTCCTCTCTCTCTCCCCTCTTCTGTCCTCTCTCCTCTCCCCTCTTCTGTCCTCTCCCTCTCCTCCCTCGTTCTGTCCTCTCCCCCTCTTCTGTCCTCTCTCCTCTCCCCTCCCCTCTCCTCTCCCCTCTCCCCCTCTCCCCTCTCCTCTCTCCCCTCTCCTCTCCCTCCCCGCTCTCCCTCCCCTCTCCTCTCCCCTCTCCTCTCCCCTCTCCTCTCCCCTCTCCTCTCCCCTCATCCCCTCTCCTCTCCCCCTCTCCAAGAGGCTCCCCCTCTCCTCTCCCTCTCCTTCACTCTCCCCTCTTCCATCTCCCCTCTCTTCTCTCCCCTCTCTCTCCCCTCTTCTCTCCCCTCTTCTCTCTCCCCTTTTCTCTCCCCTCTTCTCTCCCCTCTCCCCCTCCCTTCTTCTCTCCCCTCCCTTCTTCTCCCCCCCTCCCTTCTTCTCTCCCCTCCCTTCTTCTCTCCCCCTCCCCCTCTTCTCTCCTCCCTCTCCCCTTTCTCTCCTCTCCCTCTCCCTCTTCTCTCCTCTCCTCTCCCCTCTTCTCTCCTCTCCTCTCCCCTCTTCTCTCCTCTTCTCATCTCCTCTTCTCTCCCTCTCCCCTCTTCTCTCCTTTTCTCCCTCCTCTCCCTCTTCTCTCTCTTCTCTCCTCTCCCCTCTTCTCTCCTCTTCTCCCTCCTCTCCCCTCTTCTCTCCTCTCCCCTCTTCTCTCCTCTCCCCTCTTCTCTCCTCTCCCTTCTCCCCCTCTCCCCTCTCCTCCTCTCCCCTCTCCCTCCTCTCTCCCCTTCTCCCCCTCTCTCCCCCTTCTCCCCCCTCTCCTCCCCTCTCCTCCCCTCCTCCCCTCTCCTCCCTTCTCTCCCCTCTCCCCCCTCTCCTCCCCTCTCCTCCCCTCTCCCCCCTCTCCTCCCCTCTCCCCCCTCTCCTCCCCTCCCCCCTCCCCTCTCCCCTCTCCCCCTCCCCTCTCCCCTCTCCCCCTCTCCTCTCCCCCCTCTCCCCCTCTCCTCTCCCTCTCCTCCCCTCCCCCCTCCTCCCCCCCTCTCCCCCCCTCCTCCCCCTCTCCCCCTCTCCTCCCCTCCTCCCCCCTCTCCTCCCCTCTCTCCTCCCCTCCCTCCTCCCCTCTCCTCCCCTCCCTCCTCCCCTCTCCTCCCCTCCCTCCTCTCCTCCCCTCCCTCCTCTCCCCCCTCCTCCCCTCTCCCCCCTCCTCCCCCCACCCTCCTCCCCCAACATTTTCCTTCCCTCCTCCCTGCCCATATCCCTTTTTTTTTTTCCTTACCACCCTTTTTCCTCCATCCCCCCTTACTCCTCTCCTCTCATCCTCCCAACCCTTTTCTTGCCTCCCATCCCTTCATCTGTACCCTCCCCATCCCTTTCCTTCTCTTCCCTTTTTTTCTCTTCCCTCCCCATCCCCCTTTCCTTCACTTCCCTCCCCATCCCTTACCTTCTCATACCTCCCCATCCCTTTTTTCTCTTCTCTCCTCATCTCTTCCTCTCTCTTCTCTTTCCCCCCCATCTCTCTTTTTTTCCCCCCCATCCCATTACCTTCTCATACATTCCCCATTTTTTATTATTATTCCCATTTTCCTTTCTTCCTTCTTCTTCATACCTGGAAGCCCCCTAAATGGCACCTTCTTTTTTTTTTTTTTTTTTTTTCTCTTCCTTCCTTCTATCTGTTATTCTTTTTCCTTCTTCCATTGCTTCTCACTTTTTTTACTTTCCCGATCCCTTTATTCTTTTCTTCATTTTTAAGTAATTTTTTTTTTTTTTTTTTTTTTGTGTCTATCCTTTTACATCTTTTCTTTTCATAACGTTCTACATAAGAGACTCTTTTTTTTTTTTTTTTTTTTTCTCAAATGTAAACATTTCCAGTGGCCTACCTCCTATTATATTTTGCACTCAAGTGATCACTGCAACTGTGTTCTTCTTCATGGCAGTCAGAATGTTGATGCGTTATCTACTATTTCTGTCCGTGTTGGAATTTCATGTAATCAAGTCGTCTTGACATGACCTGGGAAGGTCACAGATTACAGAAGGTGACCGCGGTGAATGTCCAGGATCTGATCCTGACATGTAAAGACCACTTGACAGGCATTTTTTAACAAAGAATCTTAATAGCTGCTGCTGTTCTCAATGCTTCAATTTTCATGGTGCTTGCATATAATTGATATTTGATGGATGACGATTGTAACAAATAATTATAGACATTTTTTTTAAGGTATTTGTATGAACATTGATTTTGATTAATGACGAGCTGCAAGGATAGAAGGCTTGGGCAATTTAAGGAGGACAATAAAGAGCAGAACATAACGGTTGTTAGTTAAAATAATGAATGTGTCCCTTGAAATTTCCATGTGGCTGTAAAGATTAGAAGAAAGCTCTGTGATGTGTCCTATAAAGTGGGTATTTTAACTATGGGAACATAAAGCACACCATACATAGAGGGTACAATGAAACCATAAAGCCAAATTTTGTGTGCAGTGTTCCTACTATCATCCCCTCCCACTTTCCTCTAACCCATCCTACCAGGTATTTAGCCTGTAAAGTCCGTTAGTCACCTGCCCCCCCCCCCCCCCCCTCCCCCTGCAAACCCCTTCCCATTCAGGTCCCTCCCTACAGCAGTTATCCCTTACCTGTATCACTAGTCAAGCATTTGATGCTCACCAGCTGGTCCCCTTCACTCTTCTCAGTTTGACATCAGGTTCCCTCTGGATGCAAGGATGATCCCTCCACTGCCCAGTCAATGGGAATTTTCCATGTCACTCAGGTAGTAATGTGGACACCTAGAAAAAGGAAAAAGAGAGCAGGACCCAACGCTGGATGATCAAGAGAGATTTCATTCTGGCAATCAGAGGGTGGTGGGAGGTGAGTGAGTTTTTTATATCATAGTGGGGCTTTAATGTTGAACATCAACCAAACCACTGTGTAAACCAAACATGTATGTAAACCAAACTATATGTGTGTAAAATACACATAGGTAAATCCATATCTGCCAAAAGATTTGTGCCAGAAAAATTAGGTTCAGCCACTTTCAGAATTCAAATACCTCTTATTAGACATCACAGCCAGTAAGGTGTCTAAAAAAGCAGCCTTAACGTCATCTATTTTTTTTCTTCACCCAAGATATATAGTGATGTCTTACCAGATATACTCATCCATCCACACCCTCTGACTG